ACGTCGCTACGGATTGCCTCATGTGGAAGATAACAAAACGACAGATCATTGTCCAAATGTTTACCAGAAGTTCACAAGACATCACTAGACGCTTCACTCACCCCTCGTTATTTGTTGACATGATATGAGTGAAAACAAGTTTATTTTACTAAATTAAGCCGATTGAGGTGCATCAGAGCAAGAATAAACCTACAACTTCCCATACTATTTCGTCACGCATGGACAAATAGAGAAAACAAATCTCGGTGTGAACATTTAGGCCCTGTTGTTGGGAAGGCAGACGATCTTTATCTACTAGTACAAGAGAATAAATTGGGCGGTATCTTTGTGCTTTCAAACGTTATACTGGTGTAGTATTAGTGGAGTTGAATAGCTTTGTGTTTAAGATGCTTGCCTTCCAATCCCAGGGTCCTGGGTTCAATTCCTGTCAGTGTTGCAGGACTTTTTCTCACGACAAAAACAACTGCACTCCCTAAACCTCATATTGAGATTTAGTCTGTGTAAAGCATCGTGTGTGTATGTTTGTCTTGTGTAAGGGATTGTCACCTACGAGTAGGATAGTGATATAGTCGCTATTGACAATCCTTGGCACATGTATTGTGTGCATAAAAAAAAAATAATAATAATATTAGTAAAAAATAATAAAATACAACCGAAACCAATGATTATGATAATAATATTTAAATTGAATTGAATTTATTCGGCATCATTAAAAGGAAAAACATTACAAACAACAATTTACCACTAAAAAGATGAAAAGACTCGAAGTCAGAAGTTAAAAATTGCAGTAAAAATATATAATCATTGCCTAGACAACCCATTAATGTGTAAACGGACTTATTTCCAATGGGGTCTAAGAAAACCATCACCTAATAGAAGAGTATATTGGTAAGGTCATAAAGAGTAAACATATAGGCCTAATGATAAGAATAATATAATAATAATGATGATGATGGTGATAATAATAATGAATAATAATAATAAATAATAATATTAATCATTATTATTCTTGTCTATTTTAAAATTCATTGTTGTAAAGTGGGCCATGTTTATAGGCCTAAAGCAGCTATAGCATATCCTATAAGCAAATACAAGAAACAAAGCTTAGTATTTCTAATAATAATGACACAAGTAGTACTACAATACTACCGATAACAATCTTTTTTTTTTAAAATAATTTAATATAATAATCATTTATCTATAATTATTTATATTGTGTCAGTCAAAATTAATAAAATTTCCCGAAGCTGGAAAACACTTCAAACATTCGTTAAAAACATTGGATTGTTTATTTATGAAAAGGATCGAAAGTTATAAACTTCAAATGATGCCTTATTTGAATAGCAATAGTGATAATAGGCCTAATAGTAACAATAATGAAAATATTATTATTATTATTATTAATAATAATAATAATAATAATAATAATAATAATAGTAGTAGTAGTAGTAGCAGTAGTAGTAGTAATAATACTAATAATAATAATAATAATAATAATAATAATAATAATAATAATAATAATAATAATAATAATAATAATAATAATAATAATAATAATAATAATAATAATAATAATAAAATCGATTAAATAAACTTTTGAAACTCCTATCATACTTTTGAGGTGCTTCGCCAACTTGACCACTTGCGGCCTATTTTGAGCGACGCCCGACCATGCCCACTTTGTTCTCGTCGGGAAGATTAGGGCCCCTTCGGGGACCTTGGACCTCCGTCGAGCACATCCTGACGACGCCCCTGGCCATTGTTCCCATAGACCCTGTCTTGGAGAAAAAATAATGAAAAAAAGGTGGTGGTGAAGAAGAAGAAGAATATTGTTTTCAACGAGTCATTCAATGTTTTAGATGAGACACGGATCGAAAGCATTCTTTTTCACTTATTTACAGACGTTATCTCATAAGTCATTAATTATACAGTACTCTAATTTATTTTAGAGTTTTATTAATAGTCTTAATAACGCTAGGGCCAAATATTAATGCTTCTGTTAAAAGGATAGAATGTGTTTTTTATTCTTTTTTTTAATTGCTTACTAATTAGTATAGTCAAAGTAAGCAACATGAATATTGTATTATAGCTCAGCATTACCTTTGAAGGAGTACGGATACATTTATATAATATATTTTTTTCGTCTTCACCACGTTACTGGATGGGATTTAATTTATTCGGTGTGAACACCAAGGATAAAACCACGAAAGTTTGAAGGCTTATTCCCAGTGGGGTCCTTCTGGTGGTGATTGAGCAGTGCACCGCAATCCCCTGCTCCTTTCCAAAGAGTGTACTGCGTTCTTTAACATGCACTGAGCTTTGGAACTCACAAATAACTAATAATAGGCCTACAAGGCATGAGCCCTATTCGAAGGAGAGAAATAAATCATATGAAAGTCAAAATACAGTATAGCGTTTGGCTCAATAGTTGTGTAATGTACAGTTCACTAATTACTGTAGTTATTCAATCACGAAATAATCCTAAGACCTTTGAATTTACCGAATATTGATTACCATCGTGCAAAGCGTGAATGAACAAGTTGAGCAATTGGTAGCGTAGGCCTATCGGTAATCCTGTTGTGATATAGAATGGCGATAAGATCTTTATACTATCGGCTTTGATTTCGCTGATAAAATAGGAGGACTAATGACAGACCTTTCCCGGGTGTCAATCAAACTTACTGACCAATCAAAACATGACCAAGAGTACGCGCATGTCCCACAAACACACGTATTTCCGGTACGTTTTCGCTGTAGTTTTGTGGGATCTTAGCAGCAATTTCCAAGGATTAGCGGGGTTTAGCAAAAAAGGTCTATTTATATATAGGATATATACATAGACCTTATATTATATAGGCCTAATATAAGTATATAATTCATCATCAGGTGGATGATATGCATA